GGCAGGGCCCTGGCAGAGGAGGCGGCCCGCGGGACGGGGCGGTCTGGCTGCGCTCTCCCCCATGGGCAGGGATTAGCCAGGCCTGCTCGTTTGGGGGCCCCTGGGTTTGTGGTGAAAGCCCTTGTGCGCCGCAGGAGCTGGTGGTCTGGGGAACGGTGCCGTGGTCCGGGTCAGGAAGCACCCCTTGGCAAGTTCTGGCAGCGCACCGCTCCTCGGCAGAGAGGGTGACGGGCCCAGGGCCGGCCGTGCCCTGTGTAGCCCGGGTGCTCCCCTCCTCACCACGAGGACGCAAGAGTTGATGCCCAGTTTCCTTCTTAGAGCACTGCCTCGCACTTGCATCCTGCAGGTTTTTTTGCAGATCAGCAAGCCGAGAAGCATCTGTTGTGTTTAATAGTGTGTACGACCTAGTTGTTGAACAGGGCTAGTACTGCACAGTTGGGTTTTGAAGCCCAAAACGATTCACCTGGGAAAGGTGTCATACTGATGAAATGTTGTCCAGATGGTGGCTTTTAAGTCTTTTGTGTGTGTTGATAAAGCTAAGTTTAAATAAGTGTGTCAGACTCCCAAACTCGTCGTGAATCCTCTCGAGCATACCTGAGTATGTGATTTGAGCTGCTTCTTAGCCTAAGAATGCTTTTGAAGGTTTAATGTAATTTCCTGTCAGTCTTGGATCTTTTAGATCTAAAATTAGTCTTAAAAAAGGTGCACTGCTCAGTGTTTCCGTGCTGAAAAGCTGGCATATATAACTGTCTCTCTTCTTGCCTGCAGGCACCATGGTGCGCATGAATGTTCTAGCCGATGCTCTCAAAAGCATCAACAATGCAGAGAAACGTGGGAAACGCCAAGTTCTCATCAGGCCGTGCTCCAAAGTAATCGTCAGGTTTTTAACTGTGATGATGAAGCATGGTAAGTCTAGCGTGCGCAGCGCTGACTTTTTTTCTCGTTCATGGTTTCTCTGGGTGCTGTTGTGTTAAGGTGCTTTTTGACTGAAAGTAAATCAAGGTGCTTGAACTAGTTCTGTACAGCATAGTTAATTGGGTCATATTTATGTAGCTAAGTATTACAGATTTGTCTGCTAATCTTTTGTAGGTTACATTGGTGAATTTGAGATAATTGACGATCACAGAGCTGGGAAGATTGTCGTCAATCTCACAGGCAGACTCAACAAGGTAGGAGTTGTCTTCCTGAATTCACTTCTCTAACAGGGTGTTTAGATGAGACTTTTTTTTTTTCTTTAATGTTTGTTTGCTGCAGTTCTGAGAGAATTACTTGTAAGGAAGGTGGTATTTATTGAATCCGTGTAAATGAGTGTAATATGGATATTATCAGTGGTTATTAAATGCTTGTTAATTTTCCTAGATTTGTAACATTATGGTTGACCAATTACATTTCTTTTAAATGCTGAATATGTAAGATGTGTTTTCAGGGTAGGCTGCTTGCAAGTCCTGGGTGTTTCTCTCTCTTTAAAGGCTTTCTGGCTACCTGGTGATTTCTTGGTTTCTGTGGTGTCTAAGCTGTTGAGAAGACTTGTCTGAAGAGATAGGAACTGAGTCGCTTTCCAGATGATGTTTAATACCTGTACATGTTGAGAAGACAAGTTTCTCCTGCTCCGGCTTTGCTTGCAGTTGAGGGAAAGTTGAATGTTACGTTAACGAGTTAACTAGTGCTTTTTAAGTTCCTGGGGCATATGAAGTATTCACGTGTGGTTTGGAATTTTTTTAAATGCTTTTCTTTCAAAATACTGAGCTGTGTAGTTCTGTGATGACTTGCTGTCCATCATTGTTTCCAAGTAAGCTGTTCAGTGATAGGTGGGCCTTTAATAAAGAAATAAAAAAAATTACTTGGCCATAATATGTTGGGGACTATCTCCATGATGAATAAATACTACAGCTGAAAACTGAGTGTACTAGGCAGAGAATTCTGACACCACCCAAATTACTAGGGTTATGTGTCTGTAATAAAAACAGTATATGTCAGGTTTGAGTACAATGTTCCTTGAACTCCTCAGGGATGCTTTCCTAACAGATGTTCTGGGGTGCAGCTGGATGTAATGCTTCTCTCAATAGTTGCAGTAAGGGAACAGCTGTTTGGTTCAGAAAAATGCCTGCCAGTGCGGGAAGGTATGCTTCTGTTTTGCTCTTGGACGTTTATTAAGATAGTTGGAGTCAGTGAGGTAACTGGACATGGTAGTAGTGGCCATAGTCAGTAAGTAATATGATTAACTTGATAACTTTAATGCGTGTTAATTTCTCCCTGTTTAAAATCTACAGATATTTTTTGCTAACTGTGTATGATAATTAGAAGTGGAATATCCCTGAGTAATTGCAGGATTATTGATGATACAGGATGCTTAATAATATTTAGTGGTTTATAGTATGCTCTTGTGCTCTCCCAGGTCTAGCCATTCATTTGTTGGTTTAGCTTCAGCAGCAGCGTAAATCCCTCTGAGCAAGGAGGTGGTGGGGGGGAGGCTAGGGAGATAACAGCTGAATGGCTGTGAGAGCTGCAGCTTACCTGAGGGGAAGCACTGTTTCACATTATGGGTAACGGAGTGTGCTTCTTGGTACTTTCAATTTTTTTCTGCTGAAAATATTTTAATTGCAGTTGTTAAATTCCTTCATCCAGTGAATTGGAATGACAAATGTGCAAATCCAGTTTATAAAGTTCTTCGGTTTGTAATGGAATTCTGTTTTACAGTGTGGTGTAATCAGTCCCAGATTTGATGTTCAGCTGAAGGATTTGGAAAAGTGGCAGAACAACCTACTGCCTTCACGTCAGTTTGGGTAAGTATGGAGGAAATTAAATACGTGTTGTGTATAAAAATGTATATAAAAAATTGCTGTCATACTGCCTGAGTTAGGCTCGCCCGCAGCCTTTCCTGTCTGATCAATCTGGAGGTAGATGCCAGTCTAAAATCCATCTTACCTCTAAGTGCTCTTTTTAACCAGTTTTAAAGGGGCACTGCTAAGCAAGGACCTATTTTTTGCTTGGCTTTGGTAAATCCTGGTTTCACCATTTCTACAGTTTATTGGGGAAATAGGACTTTTCTCTTGGTCATTTGAATTTTATTAAAGGCCATTTATGGGGGGGGAGTGATGTAAGTTACCAGGTCAACGGAAGTAGGTCATACTGCTTTAGTTTAAACTTCCTCATTGTGTATGAATTGATCAGTTATTAAGTGATGAGAGACTCTGAGCCTCTGTTAAACAAACCTCCACAACAGAGAAAATCTTACTATTATGCGGTGTATTTTTCCTTCCCAATATTAGCACTGAGTCAAAAGTAATAAATCGCAGGGGCTCAGCCAGTCTGTCCTGTCAAAGGCAGGATTAACAGTTCCTTGTCATTTCTGTTCTTAAAGCCCCAGTGATAAGCTGCTTGCTTTAGCTGTACCTATACAGCTTACCGGTACGTGGTGTCGTGTTAAGCTTTTTAAGAGTATTCGTAGAGTGGTGGGACAGGAGGTTCTCAGACGTGAAGCTGCGAGGATGAAGTACGCTGATAATCCAAAGGTTGGCATTAGCAAAGACTAAGGCTGCTGCAGGTGTCAGCCCAGATCCAGATGTTCATCTGCATCAGCGCACAGTGCTCAAAACACGGAGCGACGAAGGGCTGAGTTGAGGAGCTGTCTGGTGCCATGGCAACTCTACCTGCTCTGAAGAAAAATGTCTGCTTAAAATAGAAGCAGATTTGGTCTAGAAGCTGTAGAGTTGCTCCTGCTACACAGCTGAACTGACTTTACAGTGGGAATGTGCAAGAAGACTTCTTGCCAGTGTTTGGAGAACAGAAGCCTGTAGATGTCCTTTGTGTGCTGCAGAGTTGTACTTGAGAGGAGTTTCTTGTTCATTGCCTGGTAACCTGACCTTGCTTCTGTTAGGCCCGTTCTTACAGAAACAGATCTTACTGCTGTGATGCAGAAGTGAAGTCAGTGCTGTCAACGAGCATAGAACAAAATTTAGGATGAACTGAACATTTGTTCTTTCTTAACAGGTACATTGTACTGACAACCTCAGCTGGCATCATGGACCATGAGGAGGCTAGGCGAAAACACACAGGAGGCAAAATCCTGGGATTCTTTTTCTAAAACTTGTAAAAAAAGAGGATACTAATAAATTGTTCAAATGGACTCTGGTGTTTCCAGTCGGTATTTTAATGACTTTGAACCCTGCCAGTGATAGTGCTTGTAACAGACAGCCCTTCAGTAGTGCCTGAGTTCCAGCTTTACTTCAGATGATGTTTGGGTTCCACCCCATCCCTGGTCACAATGTTTATTTCTGTAAATGATATACTTTGGATAGGTGCCACTCGAGTGACAGTGACAGGTCGCTACACGGAAGAGCCTTGGCAGGGGAACTCTGATGTTAAACTGCATACTTGGCTGTCCTGCAGTGGGATCGCCTCTTGGCTGTTAGATACACGTGTCTCCATATTTAGGTATATGTGACTCTGTAGTTCCACCTTTTGGTTGAATAACAGATGATGCCTCACCAGAAGGTATTTCCTGTTATGGTTTTATAAGTTAGGAGGTGTGGAATTGTGGAATAATTAATATGGTTGAAGTTTGATTTCAGATCACAAACTTGTTCCACATCTTACAGTGTAACAAGTAACTGAGCTAGAGGGGTGAATTAATTTTTTTTTTTTCCTCTTCAAATTTCTACTTTGAAAGTCCTTTGAAACATCAGAGTTTTGGGTAAGATAGTTGCTGTGCGGCTGCTTTGCATGTTGCCATGAAGACGTGACTTTAGGATTTCTTTAGTTTTTGAAGTGAGGAAATAAGGGTATCTGAACTTGGAGGTAGTGAATATTTAGTATTGAATGAGTTGTTGGTCTTTGTTTCAGGCATCTGATGCATGACAGCATAATGCACTTCATACAGAAAAATCAACAAATTCCCTTCAAAGCGGTACACGGAGCAGGTGACTACAGCTGAAGAGCTGCTTGCCGATGGTAGAGCATGGGCGGCGAGTGTCTGGGCTGATGGCGTTGTCCTTTCCCAGCGGCTGGAGATACCTCGCCTTACTCCCTTTGTTTGGAGCTGTTATTAGGAAGGAGCCTACTGAAATGTAGCAAGCCTATTTCAAGGTGCTTTAAGACAGCTGTTGAATTTGTGGTTGTCCTGATACCAACAGCTGGAAACAATTTTCCTCCTTGGTGGTACATCCTGATGCTCAATATGTGGGGTTGCTTGAGTGGGAAGTGTTGCGCCCTGAAGGCGATACTTTGTTGCAAAGGTTTTCAGAGAGCTCATAACTATGTAACCCATTTCTGTTCAGTGTTACTTTTTATGGAGAAAAGGAGAAGGTGATACTTGCTGCTTAGCAAACAGGTTCCAACTCCTGGTGGACGGGCAGCGCAGTCTTGCCTAGTGTGGTGGCTCTTCCCCGAGGACCAGCTGCTAGTGACAGAGCTGGGAAGGAGCTCACAGTGAGCGTTCTGGTGGCCTACCCTAGTGTCCTGGGACAGAGACTTGCACCTTGGCTGAGAAGAGCAGGGCAATCATAAAAAAGGCCAGTTTACCTGTTCTGCCTCGGTCACGTGCTGGTTGAGGTCACAATGTGTGGATTGTAGATGGCTTCAAAGCATTCAAACGTGATCAGTTTGGTTCTCAGTTTGATTTGAAACAAATTTGCTTAGCTGAAGAGAAAGATCTGTGCACTGAATTACAAAGAGTAGTTATAAAGTCAAAGTCTGTTGACCCCTTATTGTCAAATCAAGATATTTTATTACAGGGTTTTTTTTCTGTCCTTAATGGAGATAATTCTGCAGTACTACGCACTGGTACAGACACGAGCTTTTGTATTTCTTGCTCAGAGTAACCGTTAAGATCATATCGAGGTTCCACTGTTCCTTTTTGTAAATTCTTACATCAGTCCAGAATAGAACATGCATTTCTGATACCTGGTGGAAGAAGGTCAGTGACACTTGAAGGCTTCCTTTAGATGAATTTACTATGGCTCCAAGTTCTCTGCTAGTTTGATGTTCATGTTTTAAACCAATTTTATACAGGGGACACACATCCTTTTTTCTGAAGCAGTTTAGCTGTGCATGTCCTCTACTGCCACGGAGACTTCCGAAGGAAGAGGATTTCTGACATTCTCAGCTGACGGACTGGTTGGGAACAGACTCTGATAACTGATTTCATAGGCCAGCCCAAGGACTTTTGTAGAATTGTTAAATGGAAATTAGAGCTGCAATGTAAAAAGAATGACTTGGACGGAAGCGTGCGGGAGCAGGAGCGCCCTTCCCACAGTATGCCTGACCAGTGTAACTGCAGGCTGGCTCCCCACACGTGGAAGCTGACACGGCTGTTCTGAGTTCATGAGGTCATCTCTGAGCTTGCACCGCATTGAGGAGAGCTTTACCCCGGGCAGCCGCTGCTGGCTGAGACCCAAGGAACTTCTCAAGCAGGACACGGGAGCTGACGTGCAGGGTTATGACACCCCCTGCAACACAGCTGCTTTCAAGGGGTTCACAGGAATTCTTAGACATGTTTAAATCTGAAAGTGGTGGTTTTTTAAGCCTCAGTGATGTTTTGTGAGCTGAGGGCATATGACTTGGGAAAGCAGTTTGTAGGTAAAAGTTAACTATCATTTTAGGTAATAAAAGGATTAATAAGGAGAGGTGAGAGGGAAAATGGCACAAAGCTGAAAACGCAGTACAGGTTGCAACTGGCAATCCAGGCGGTGTTAGTTTAGGGAAGGTGCTTGGCACCTGTGGAGTGGGGGGCAGGATGGGGACTTAATGATGGAGGAGGCCCCTATGGGACAGAGGCAGTTGACCTTCAGATGGGGACAGCTGTGAGGGTGGGTGACACCTGAGGAAAGTGCCTGCGCTGCAAACCCCCCCAGGTACCAAGCTTTACCTCTGGTGCTATCCTGGGTACCCTGCAGCCTAACGCTGAACCAGTCTGAGGTGATCGTGTTGCCTCTACCCTTCTAGATGTAGAGAGAAGTCTTGGCCTTTTGGCTGGAGGTCTGCTTCTACTTGCCAAGCCAAATGCTAACACCCAGGTCTGTGTGAACACGGCCGCTTGCCCGCCTGCCGAGCTGCGGCAAGGCTGGTTGTACTGCCGTATGGATAGTGTATGGTGACGCGGCACTGCCTATAGTCCCTTCTTAACCTGCTCGGCTGATCGCAAGAAGGTAAGCATCAGTAGTCCTAGTCACGGGTGGTAAAATGTGATCAGAACTTAATCTGAGCTGTGACAATCACTAAGTCAGCAGTAGCTGGGAGAGGGTGGGTGCCCCATCTGCGGGGTACAGCCTGGTCTTGCTTCTGCTGTCAGATACACGATTGGTATTGGATGCTGCTGGCCATTGCTCCTTACGCCATTGTTTTAGGACAGGATAAAACGCCCTCAAACAGCCTGCCAGGCGTGAAGAGAAATGTGTATTTATTGTTGCAGTGGGAAGTTGTCAACAGATGGCAGCATCTGACCGAATCGCTGGAGCCGGAGGGCAACCTGTGTGAGAGGAGCCCAGGAGTGCTTTGGCGTTGCTGCTGGTCTCCCTGCGCCTTCTGCAGAGCTAAATACCCTGATGTCTCCTGTACTCTGGTCCACAAAGATAACTTTTTCCGTCTTTGATGCAATAGAGCCCAATTTAAGATAATATGGGAGGTGAGAATAAGTATGGATCTTCAGAATATGGCAGTGGGGTAAAAAGCTTGGTGTGTAAGGGGCTTTACTGGAAATGCACTTTCTCCTCCTCGACCTTTTGTTTTTCTGCCACAGGTAATTCAGGCAGGTCTGTTCCCCTGAACGGAACTTGTGTTTTGTTTCTCAAACTCATGTGCCAGTTCCTTGCACCAGAAATACAAGCCGTAATCACACCTTGATCTCCAATGCCTGAACAGTTATCTTGGCGACTCTTTCACGCCTCTTGGAGCCTAGATGAAGCCAGCAACGACAGACAAGGCTGTGTGGGGCGGTGCAGCAGAAAGCAGGGAAATAAAATGGGTTGAAGTGGTGAGCGAGGCTTTAGAACTTGCTGCAGGGGATTTGGCACTGAGCAGTTACTGCACAGCAGTGAAGGAATGAGAGGTCGCTCGCCGTCAGCGTGGGGCCCTGAGCACAGGGTGCGGGAACCGGCAGCGCGGCGATGAGCGTGCCAAGATGTGCAGGTGAGGCTGATGGTAGAGGTTAGGAGACATCGTTTATTTTTAAAGGATCTGGGACTGCCAAAGCTATTATTTTAGGGTTTTTAATTAAAATTGCATGCTCTCAAATGAAAAGACCTTTTTTTTGTGTTTGTTTAATGCTATTTAGCTAATCTAGACTTAAGACTCTATTGTTCAGTGTCCTATTGCCGATGAATGCAAGTATCAGTCTTTCGGTAAATATCTGGATGGATTTAACCACAGCTTAGTCCGGGGGACTACACCGGGGGGCCAAGGAGTTTTGGAGGCTGGTGGCCTCTGTTCTCACTCATGCCTCTGATGCTTTCTCTGCTCTAGTGCTGCCATTTTACTCATGCAGTTCTATTTTGATTATCTTAATTCTGCTGTTCACCATCTCCTTGCTCTGGTATGTTGTATTTCCACAACCAGCTCGTGACCTGGATTAATTTGGTTTTGTTTACAAACATTTTTACAAAGAGAAAAGTGCTGAGGTAGCAAGTGACAACAAGTGGCAAGATAACTCGGTAAACTTTGTTGCTTGATACACAAAGGTGCCTCTTCTTCTGGGAGAAAAAAAAAATTCCACCGACCTTCTGCTCTTCTCAAATTAAGGGAATAAGGATGTCTGAAGCCATAAAACTTTCCACCTAGTTTTAAGTTGATCCAGTCTGATTTATTATATAAGATATGTAAGAACAATCTCATAAAAGCACTAGAAGCAGAGGGGAACATGTACAAAGAAATATTGTGGTTCTGGCAAAGATAATGAGAGTTTTGACCTCTGCTAAGACCACTCTTATAATCAGATAGTCCTGGTATCCACATTACCTGGCGGTCACACGTGGTTTCGAAAGCTGTCCTTGATCCAACTGCACTGTGTTTAGCAGCCACCAAGTGATTCCTGCTCAGCATGTGGCTGCTAACTTGAACCTATGTATATTTATATAGGGAGGACAAATGAAAATCAATCTGACTGGCGCATTGTCATGCACGGGGCAAGCGCAT